CTAATCGCCCTCTCCCACCCATAGTCACGGTGCACAAATTTTCCCAAATCCACGAAACTTCAACCCACCTGTGACAACACTAATCACTGCCCAAATATGGGCTTTGAATGGATGCTTCACCATAGGTGCAACAGGTTTTGCATCCCAAGACCATGCGAGAAGAGTATTACAAAACATCTAAATTGTTGTTTCATCAGAAAAAACAACTTTTTTTCCAGTTATATTTAGCATGATCACATGCCCAAGACAAGTGATAACCTTTCGCTTGTTGGGTTAGAAGAGGGACTCTTCTGGGAAGAACCAAAACAAAACCAAGGTTTATGAGCTCACGACAAATAGTACATTTCACTAACCTCAAATTCAGAATCATTTTCTTCTAGTTTAGCCTTGAGCTTCGGTACTGTAGTGAAATGATTATGTTTCACAATCATTCTAGCGTTTTTGGAGAGTCAACTTTCGAGGGTGACCAGTTGAGTGACCAACAGGAATTTTGCCAGTTTTATGCAATAAACTGACATACCGCTCACAGGATCATAAGGGAATGCCCAATTGCAGGAAAATTTCCTTTTGATTTTGGACGTTTTGTTGCCAGAGCGAGTTAACGGCGTTTCGTTGTGCTTCGAGAGGGGTTGGTGCCTAATTTGGTAATATAAACATTGGTCCAAATCGGAGAGGAGGAACACTATAGTAAAAACGTAAGTGGCATTTCCACCACCATTCTTTTCGCCGGGTATTGTATCTTAGCCAGGTAAAACCTACTCTGTTCGATCAGTGTACTCAATTTTGATCGTAGAACGCATGCCTCGCTAAAGATCATATCAACTTTCTTTATGTCTCAATTCTCTTTGATTGGACAGCTTAAAAAATAAATAAAATTTGTAAAGCAGTCTCATAAGCCTAATTTTTTTCTTATTTATTCATTTTTGGATAAGCAAATATATACTTCGTGTCTTAATTTAATCTAGTAATGACATATAGAAATAATTCGATTCATTTTACAGAATACACAGTGGCTCTCTTTATAGTGTACCTCCTTTATAGTAGAGACTAATTAAACTCGTGATATAGTGGATTATATCCAAAACTACCTTTAATAAAATCCATTCGATATAGTAAATTTACTAATAAACTCTCGATATAGTGAATTTTTGAAAATTTTTTACTATTAAATTTTTTTGTTACACTATAAAGAGAGTTACTGTGTATACGCAAAATTTTATAATACAAAATTTCTTTAGCATGCATGTACTCAGATCTGGTATGAAATCCCAACAAACACAATCCCGAAAATTCATATTCCGATACGAAATCCCGAAAGAACGGCCTCCCGAATGCACGAAACCCTGAAAGTATAGCATTCCAACCGCATGAAATACTAAAATCATCACGATTTCGGGATTTTTGGACGTCACCGAATGAATTATTCCTTTCATTAGTATAAGTTTAGATAGCTGTTATATCAAGAATTCATTGTATAAAATGACGTTTATGCATTCTATGACTAGCTATAAGACGCTCTGAACCTCGATCTAATTATATCGAGATTTTATCCATTTCATTATATAGAGAATCCTTTATGTTATGTATACAGATACGAGGTTTCAGGATTCTAATAAAATAACTTGAGACTCCATGACAGAAAAGGCATATATTCATTAATACAAAAATTTACCAATCAAAAACTATTATATATACACACACTTAATTTCTTAAAATCTAACAATTGCAGAACGTACAGTGTGCAAATTGGGCGGGTTAGTTTATACGCTTATTTAAAATTTTGAAAGAAAGAACTTTACTTGCATGCACATCAATAAAATTATTTTTGGCGTAGATTTTTCGGTAAAATATCCCCTAAAAGGAAACATTGATGTCTGAATAACAAATCAAAATTTGATGCTTTCATTACACAATGCAACAAATGCAGGTATTAAGAAACGTGAGTGATCACAAATAAATTTATGTTTTTAATATAAAGAATTAATTTTTATTTAATCCTTAAAATTTTATCTCCATAGCCTTCCTTTTTTTAATCTCTCCCCCCTCTTTCCGCTTCACTATTTCCCCATTCTTTTTGCAGTTTAATAAAACAGAAAATGAGTTTCACTGAGCGATGGGTGGGGGTTGGACTTGTAATCGGAGCTTTAATTTTATCAATCTTCTCTTTACTTAGAATGCTCATTCTTCGAAATGCCGCTTCAAAATATTTACTATTCCCAACAATTAATATGCTATTAATATTAGCAGAAATAAATACACTTGTGCAGATATTTGTCATAATGCATTTGGACGACCCTAAGATTACAATGATAACGAAAACTATAAATGATCTTTTGTATCTCTTGTCTAAGCCGATTATTCTTTATTTAGCTTACGAGGTTAGTTGATGCGATAATCATGCTTTCCCAATATTTTGGTTACTTATATTGTTTTTATTATCGAATAATCAGCGTTGTCGCGCTGTTTTTCAACCCTATCAAAAATTTCCGTGGGCACATTACGCTTTCTTTTTCATTCGAATTGCACAGATATTTTCAGTACTAGTCGGCGATATAATTTACATCATAAGATGTGACTACGATATGAAGGATACAGATCTTTCAATTTTGAAAAAAATTCGCGATGGATATGCACCAATTCCACGAATTTATTATATTGTGTCAGAAACAATATTTTTTGTTTTATTATTCAAAACTTTATGAAAGTTCAATGGCTCGAAAGAAGAAAAGAAAATTTTGAATTACCGTCGTCTTCAAGCCATTTCATTCGTGATAGATTTGTTGCTCTTATCAGCCATGATTATATATCGATTAATCAATACGTTTGAAATAGTTCCTACTTATGACTATGCTGATGTATTTTGCACCGCGTTCACTGTCTTTAACATGACTCAATTTGGTGTCACGATCCCAAAATTATTCAAATCTCGACAAACTATACAGGTAAAATCATCAAACTCGAATTCCGAAAAGAGTAAATCATACCTTCATCTTGATGACGATAATCGCGCACCGCGAACTTCAACAACTCCTCAAAGTCCTGATCGTTTATTTGTGCGCAACAGTAATACCGATATAGATAAAAAGAACGAGCAAGTATTTAGCATTCAAGTATCGGTTCACGATGTTATAACCACAACTCAAAGCTTTGACTATCATCAACAAGGATACGCAAACCCATTTAATCAAGTAACAGTAAATGCTGAAAAATTTTGAAAATGCGAATGTTCAGAAGAATAACGTTTCCTGCGAAACAAATTTATTAGACGCTCATAATATATTAAAGATGAATCATATGTATTTCACATTTCTTGGTTCTTATTCGTTGTTATTATAATTATTGTTATTATTATTGTGCTTAATTAATCTAGCTTTGTATAATATTGTATTTTTCTTTATGGTCTTATCATTTGTTACCTTATTAGATTAGACTTAGATTTAGAGTTTATTAATTGCATTTGTATATACGTGTATGTGTAAGTGGGAAACCACTTAGAATTATTTGACCCGCACTACCCACTTTCAAACATATACGCAGTATATAAAAAGTATATAAAAGATAAGAGGTGTGCAAACTCGATATTTATTTCAAATGAATACATTAGTTTATAGAATAATAAAAGCAAAATCATAACACTCTCCACAAACTTGAGAATCTAAATAAATATAAGTAAAACGTTTACAACAAAAAAACAAGGCATACACGTAAAACCATGGAAATTGCATGGAATGAACAATTTGTGCCATTCCATGAGTTTTACATGTTAAAATGTTTAATTGCTGTTTTGTTAATATACATACTCTTACAATAAATTACCGGAAATCTCAAAACGAATCTGTCATTTGGAACCCATTTAAATGAAGATATTCTCATTTTGAGATATCGGGTTCCAAAGCGACAGATTCGTTTTTGTGATTTCCGGTGATCTATTACTATTGTAGGAGTGTGTATTAATTATCGTTATTATTACACACAAATGCAAACGACATAGTCAAAGTGATAAAACTTTTGAAATTGAAGACTAAGTCTGTATTCTTTTTGCAGCTTGCTCTATGCAAATTTTTTAATTTTAGCAACAAGCACTGCATGTCGTTGCAACATAGAAGTGTATACTCCCATCTACCTGTACAGAATATTTATTTTAATTTTTGCTCAATAAAATATGCTCTCTAACTGATTACCCTATTTTGTATGTATTTGTTTTTTTATATTTTGCAAAAGATACAGTATATATAATAAAACAAGTGTTGATCCTTGGCAGTTTGGACAGTTTGTCTGAATGTTTTTTGAAAAATTATTATTAATTTAATTATTGGACTTGTCCAAGGAACAACCCTGAATAAAACAGATCACATGTATTTATTGAATATATATTTTATTGTGGATTATAAAAAAATATTCAATGAACAAAAAAATAATACTGTCGTCACGCACAAGTAAGAGACATCTTTGCCTCAGCATTGGTTCATTTGACGGTTTTAAGACATTGAACAGGATCACAGGCAGCAACAACAGAAAGCAAGCGTAGAAAGGCGGGCGACCTGCCACAAGAGGAGAAACTGACAGTCTATGAAGACAAGTGAGCATCCAAATGCAAGACAGGTCAACTTTTTGAAACATGAATAGTTTGTGCCAGGATTATATATGTAAATTATCAACAAGCAAGACGTTGTCGTATATCAATCCGCCTTCCACCCGCCCATTAGCACTTCATGGAAGACGCTTATAAGCCATAGACAAGTGCAAACTCAGCTTTTCAACTAAAATAGAACTCATCAGACAATCATTATCCGAGCTCAATATTATCGTTACATGTCTCCGGTTCAATCTTGTTTGGACTAGGTTATTAAATAGATAGTTCAAAGGATCAAAATTATTCTTCTTTATTTCATGAGAACTGTCGACACAACCAACACTATCTAAAGATGACTCGAAGTTCTCATAAAATAGATAGTAAGGCAATAGAGCTTTGTTTTGGTATATAGTAAAGAGGATGAAAAAATCTGCGAAGATAAAACGGTAAGAAATATTTGCGTAATGGATTCCTAGTGCTCAGACCTTTGTAACTAGAATTAAGCGTGTTAGAGCAAATAATTTACATATGTATTAAATAAAGAGTCTCTTTAATATTCTAAAGCGACTTGTAAGCAAATCGAATTTTTAGCAAACGAGATTTCTAACAATTATAAAATGTATTTCGAGAAGGTTATGATATCCAACAACAAAAAGTTTAATCAACAGGGCTGGTTTCGATTAACCAAAAATTAAAGTGTGCAAAATCAAAGGTTGGACTTATTCTGCCAACAAGTATCCTATTCAATGACGAAGGTTAAATACAGTACCGGTCATAAGTATCCGGCCCTTTTTAATTTGTCATAATCAAGTATAATTTGCTGAAACTTTCACCACACGTAGAGCAAAACAATAATTTTCGATGTCTCATATAGCCTTGTAATATCTTTGTATCAGATATTGTAACTTTTCTCTTCACAAGTAATCAAAATGTTACTGTAATACGTAATATCTTGACGTTCAGGGGCTGTTTCGTGTAAAACCACTTCAATTTATCAAGACAAATCGGATCACTGAACGTCGAGAGCATTCCTAAAGGACTGTCGGCAATCGAATGGTGTAAGAAATCATAAAATTGGTCAGTAAGATAAAAAGCCATGTTTTGACACTAATAGTGACCGATGGAAACTATACCTTCAAGTTCTATCATATCTTTAAATAAAAATGTACTTCGAACACGGTCAAATCGTCTACAGTAATGGTCATAAATATCTGCACCCCAAAATTTTCAGAAATCAAGTGACAACACCCCTCAAAAATTTCCGAAATTCAAGAGTGATACTAACTCTACAATTATAGGTTGATACAAGTTTAGATGATTGATTAACTTTTATGTCCAAAAAAATGTCATTCCCTCTCCATAAATGAAATCATTTTTCTTCACGAACGTCCACAAGGACCGCAATGGGGCTATGAAAAAATAGCAACCTATATTGGTTGTACTAAGAATGCAAAAAATTAGACTTAAAGATGGCGAATTTCAAAGGATCTAAGTGATCAAAAAAAATCGGGTCCATGGCGCAAAACGGCAAAACAATATAAACAAATAACAAAAATAGCAAAGATGGAAAATAGCATAACAAGTATCCAAATACAACGGAATATGGAAAAACAGGGTGTTAACATTAGCGTGAGGACTATTAGATGACGACGTCTTCGTGAAGCTGAAGGAAAATATATTAATGAAATTACAAAGCCTCTTCTTACAGAAAACCATCAGAAAAAATGGCTGTGATGGGTGAAGAGATATCAAAATTTTGATTGGAACCAGATTATTTTTATGGATGAAAGTACTTCTCAACTATTCCCATCGAAAAAAAAGTTTGGCAGTTCATTAAGAGAAAAAAAGTATTTCATACTGTTAAGCATCCACCAAAGGTCCATGTATGGGAATGTTTTTTAGTTTCGGAGTTTGGTGAGTTGGTGTGCTTTCAACGACCTTGACGCCAATTTTATGTGTGAAATCTACAAGAGTCTTCTGCCTTCCATCTCTGAGTTTTTTTTTGGCGAGGGTAACTTAGACTGATTCTTACAAGAAGATAACAATTCCAAGCATCGTTCAAGAATTGCGAAAAATTGGAAAGCAGAGAAAGGTATCAAGGAACTACCCTGGCTATCGATGTCCCCAGATCAAAATCCTATAGAAAACGTGTGACATGTCATGAAATTAAATCTTAAAAAAAATTCAAGCAATTACAAACAGAATGGGAAATTAACATTAATTTAAGGCAAAAAATTACGCGCTAGCGAACAAAACTACACTAACTTACAAACCGCTTATCAGAACACAATAAAAGTGTCTCCTACCGGAATTTACCGCAAAATTAGTAGATAGTATAAAACGCCGTATAATGGCACTAATAGAGTCCAACGGCGACTATACTATGTACTAAAAATCAGTATTACTTATGTTATTTTAATAACAAAATATAATTGCGATTTGCTTTATTTTTGGAAGAATTAGAGGGTGCAGTAATTTATGACCGTTACTGTTCAGTACCGATTATAGATCACTCAAATCGCCGAATAATTTTGAATGCCGGACTGTTGGCGAGTCTTCTCTTATTTGGGACTAGTTTATATGATATTTATTGATTTACTGCATTGAGCACTGTAATTGATCCTTATTATATTAAACTCGAATGAATATTAATCCTTTATTGGGGAATAGAAGTCATTTGACATATTTATTGCCTTTATCTAAGGTACATGTATACAATTGCCATCCTCTTTTCTTTATGTGCTTTCAAAGCAAAAATTCTTTTAAATGAATAGATAGCGATGATGGAATTTATGCTGCGTCGACAATCAAATTTTGGAATCGAATATTTCATCGGGTGCATGCATGTTAACATTATCCACTATTTATGGAAAAAGACGCAGGCCATCAACTCCTCAATAATATTTACATCCTGTGCAGCCAACACTCGCTTTGTGTTGTCACTATTTTTCACTTTAGACCAATTTTCAGCCGCATATTCAATTCCTGCTTTCCTCATTCCATCATTATTAGTGCGCCAGCCCAATAACAAAATCTCATCCCAGTTCTCGTCGTTTACGAATTTAACAATTTGACTGGCGGCCATCTGCACAAGTTCCTTTAGGTCGAACTTATCAGCCAGAATATAAACGCCAGTCAATAAGTCAACATCGGATGTTTGCTCGAGTCTTCCGGTATAGAAAAATTGTAGGACAGATCGAAAAGAATTGTGATCCGTGTCTTTGATAGGGATTGAATCCATTTTCGATTCACGCCATCTACCGAGTAAAAGCGCTTTGAAATAGGTTGATTGTGCGGCGAGTATTATCCGGTGTGCCTTAAGTCGAGATCCACAGTCAAATACGAATTCTACGTCAGCCAATAGTTCGTCTGTCAAGAAATCATTAAGTCCCGCGGGAAAAACGATACCAGACGACACAGATGATGACGAATGATTTGAGTCACTGTTCGTTGAAGAAGAACCTGATTGTGGTTTATCGAAAATACGTACTCGGATGATCAGAGTAGTGTTAACATTGCGATCATTCGGGAAAACTTCTTCGAGGGAGCAAAATTGATGTTGCCCACAATTTATAACATTATTGAAATTAAAACTTTGTGAAGAACGTTGAAGACTTGCGAGATGAATTGGAGCTGATGGGCCATTCACAGGATCACTTTGAGACCGAAATGCTTCCAATTCAAATTCTTTATGCCTGGTGAGACTTTTCTCTTTTTCCTCACATGTCTGAAATCCTTCCAAGTAAACCGACAAGTATGACTTATATCTTTCGTCATAGCCACGCGGATACATTCTCAAACGCCATGAATGACCAGAATTTCGTCTCGTTGATGACATTGATGATATCAAGGAATTGTCAATATCAACACGATAAACTGGTGACCAGAATAAGTCACTATACAGGAAATAACCAGTTGGCACTCTATGAACTAAATCCTGAAATCCGGGAATAGTCCAAGTATACGTGAAAGCATTATCTTGTTCGTTCTTCAACGTTGATATTAATGGATCGGTTTGATCGTTATTATTGTTGTTGTTGTTGTTGCTGTTGTTGTTGGATGTTTGCATTTTTCGTTATTTATTTACGTTCATTTAATTTAAAAAAAATATTTTCTCAAATATTGATTTCCAAAAGAAAAGTTTGGTGATATTCCTTCGAATTACGTATTGGTATGACTGTGGGCTTTTAAGGTAACCAGTCACATGTATAACGAAATAGTATGCATGTATAATAAAAGTCACATGTGCTTCCAAATTTTTTTATTCAACTATCCGTGTAAAAAAAGTATCATTAACGTTAATGTTAAAAAAATCGTAGAGAATAAAAGAAATTCAATTCGTAGATTCCCAAAAAATTTGGATAATAATACATGTAACGTACATGTATAGAGTTGTTAAAAGAAAATTCAACAATCGATAATTTATATTTATACATGAAACATGTAATGTAGGTCTGTGCTACGACTTTTAACATGTACTTTGTTTGAAATCCATATTGGGGGTTAGAAATAGCATCGGTAATCACTTGCAGTATTGCGGTTTGCTTGATAATATGTATATGTAGTAGTAAAAAAAAGAAATATCCTTGTTACGTATTATTCTATTCATTGTTATTATTAAAAAAGGCCGAAAGAGATAAAATAGTAAAATACGAACAACAAAAATTATAGTTTCATATTTGGTGCAAACAATAAACTTAATGAGTATAAAAATCGTGAGAGAGAGGTTGCTGTGTATTTTTTCTCTCCAATTCGAATTCTACTATATAAACTAAACCATAAAATTTTTATTAAAATATTTTTACGCTTATTATTAAAAAAGCTAGCATAAAATGAAAAATCTTCTATTGGCACGCTTAATGATAATATTCGTTTTATACATAAATTTTGCCTTTTCAGCACCATACGAATATGGCTTTGAGCGACAAGTCGCCTGGTGTGAAATGAAAAAAGATGTCTCAAAACCGGTGAGCGGATTCTTTGTGCTCTCACAAATACAAACCGCGTCACCAAAAATTATATTGTATGGAGCGTGGGAGACTGGATTCGACGACCCTGATCCGAATGCATATTCATTTATTATTACCCCAGCAAATTATAATCTTACTGAGAAACTAAAAGTTGTTCCACGTGAAGGCGGAGCAACTGATCCGTGGTCTATAATGCTGCACGATGTTTCGTTGTCGAGCCTGACTGCGCATAAAGATGATACTTATTTTGACAAAGGTGTTAGTTTGGCCGGGGAACAACAATTTTTTCAAGTTCTTTATAAAGATTCTGTTATTGGGTCTGGCCCTATTGTCATCCTTTGATTAAGGATCGGATCATTTTCGAACATTAAAGACCTTTCTCATTTTATTTTGTACAGAAAAAATTTGTAATAAATACTCTTGTTTAAAAAAATGAAATTTTTTATTTTTCTCGATAGTTCTTTAGATCTGAACCATTATATATCGTCAACGAACATTTTGATCCAATTCAGCAAACTCTTTTCAGATTCAGGCATTTTTTTTTATTTAAAAGTGTTGGGAAACTAGTAAACAAAAAGGTGTGATGTAAATTTTTTGTGGTACGCGGTGATTCTAATAAAATTTCGTTATAGATATTTACACGATTTTTTACTATGTCCCAACAATGAACATCTCTTAATGGATATGCGATTCTATTACAAAACATAAATTATTTTAATTTAATCTAACGCTAATTTTTAAAATTGTACTTCCAAATCGCCACCTCCTGCTGTAACTATCAACTGAGATTCCCTGCCGCCCTCATCTACATATCCAACTTGCCGGTCGTATTGGTCAATTATTTTTGTTCGGTTGCCGCCGAATGCATATACATATCCTTCGGCTCGTAAGTCATATTTTCCCGAGAAAGTATTTCTCTTTTTTTTGAAATTGGTTTAGTTAATCGTAAAGATAAAAACCCCATGTCATTTAAAATATAAAGTACTTACTAATTGTAAAGTAATTTTTTTAAGAGGGAATAAAGCACGTTCGAATTCTAAAGGAATTGACGAGATCCAAACTTGAAGGTTATTTTCGAGGCCATTAACAAGAAGCCTATTGACACGTATCGCTTTAACATTCGGGCCGCCAATACTTCCCCAAATAGAAAACTTCTTTAGACGAAGACCCTAAAACGCATATTTCCGTATAAATAAATGAATAGGCAAGGGAAGGATCTGATAATATATTTTATTACTCACATCAAGAAAGATAAATCCATCGTTCGCATTTACTTTAAATGTCGCATGCTCTATTGGAAATTTATTAGGAAACAAGAAAGCATCGTACCCGTCAAGATCAAAATTCGTATTTATTGTCGATGGATTTGCAAACTTTTTCGGCAGGCGAATATTTACAAGAGCTGCGCCGCAACTAGGTGATCCGACAAAACCCCAATCTGGAAATAATGGATAATAATCTTGAACCTGTAGCAAAGAAAAATCCTTCAATCTAATGTTTTTATTGTTTAAAAGGAAATTTGGTTTTAAATTTTTCTTTTACCGTACCGCAGTTAATGTTTTCGTAAATCCTTCTTCCTCGAATCTAATATCTACACCCGAGGGATTAAGTGAATTTATTCGAACATCTATGTTTATCTTTGTCGAGTTATCACTACGCTGAAATATGTGAACTTCTCGTTTCTTTTAAGTATGCACATCGATAATAACGAAACGATTAGCCTTACTGCTACTAAAAACGGGACTATAGTATCACATAAACCTTATTTACATATAATTTCCCTAAAGAATTAATCTTCAGGTCTGTAAATTCGTACGGGTCATATGAAAATGAAGCTTCTTTCGATTCACTTTCCGGAAGTGCTAATCTATTGCATTTATATCTACCGATTATCATTGGAATCTAATGTGATATGGTAAATGAGGATTAGTTCAATCCATCTCTAAAAAGGATAACGATAATATTAACGAATAATTCCTTACCGATAGTATTACTTCAAAGAAAAAGTACAATATCAAATATAAAAATAGCAGCCAGCCAAGCACTTGAATTGAGTAGAAAAAGATTTCCCAAATCGCTCGACAAACATAATAGATTAGTCGTATGAAACATCCTTATTATATATTAAAAAGTTTAATTCAAATTTGATTTAATTTTTAAATATATTAAAAGTCTTATTATTATTACTATTGATGTCAGAAAATTAAAGTTTATATATAATAATAACGGTTAATAAATAAATCTACTTGCTTAGCGTCCATTCTGCGATCAATCTTTCATAAGTGTAATGAATTGGTGGTGGCGGTGATTCTGGTGTTTTAATGGATGGCAATTGTTCAGCAATAATATTAAGTGAATCATTGTCATCTGCCTCATCTGTAATTATCGTATTTTTTTTAGGATACTGTTGTTGTTGGATCGTGCCATAATTATAATGATTTTTGCTGCTCATTATCGTTTATTAATACATGTACGATTTTTAAGAGATATCGTATCGCTATGTACATGTGTTTGTCTCTTATATCTGACGAATAAGAAACATGCGTGTGAAGAAATAAGTAGTGTTTTATTTCCTGAATTAGAATGTATACATGAGATAACAACGATAAGTTCTCACGTTAGCATGATGCTGATCAATTACATGTAATAAATATATCATAGCTGATCCCGATATATTAGATAAGGAGAAATCATTATATTTGACGCGTCTCATCATAATGAAGAATAAATAAACTTTGTTAATACAAATTTTTCATCTCCCTTGCAGATAAAACACCAAACAGAAATGAGTCTAAGTAAAAGGAAAGAAGTCGATAACAAAAAAAATGACACCCTATCTTTTAAAAAGACCAAGTTTTGTAAACTCGAAAAATCATCCAGCAGCATGAGCAACCACGAAACATCTCCAGCATTGAAAATTCCGCCAGAAATTTTTATTAAAATCTGCCAAAGCCTCGCCCCATCAGATCTATTATCGCTCTCGCGAGTATGCAAACTTTACAATGGATATCTGTGTTCAAGAGAATCTTCGACTACCCAAGATATTTGGAAGAACGCAAGAATCGAATACCTCCCTAATCTTGTTTTGCCACCTCCTGAAGGATTTGACGAGCGTGGTTACGTAAGACTTGCAATTGAACGTGGATGTCATTTTTGTAATAATGCACCTCGTGTTAGGAAAGTATATTGGGCGTTCTGTTTTCGAGCTTGTCATGATTGTTTAATGGAAAATACAATCAGGTATGTTTCAATCTTCAACAGAAGATTCAATTTTATTATATTCGATTATTAATGATTCATTCTATGGATATCAGCGAATCTGATCTATGTCGACGATATAAGCTCTACAAACTCTCTTCACTTGTTCCTTACATTACGCGAGGTAATAGGAAGTATTATGAAAGATTCTTTTACATAAAACACGTGAATGAAGTTTACCGTGAATGGGAAGGAATTAATGATCAAGATCGAACAGGCTGGATTCGTCGTAAATCAATGGAGTGTTCAGAGTACATGGAAAAAGTTGATGAACGTGAAGAGGCTGAATATCAGGAAGCGTCATTTAAAATGAGAGAGAAAGAGATACTTAAGCAGAGCCGTGCCGAGGCAATTGAACAGAAACTCGACGAGATGATAAATGAAACTGATCATGAAGGAAATCACTATCAAAAAGAATACCTGAAAGAATGTCCTTCCTATAATAACGCGCGTGTTCAGTCTCGTCCGTTGACTGAAAGATCTTGGAAAATACTTGAAGGAAAATTAAGACGCGAGTATTTGGATATTGCCAACTATCATCGACATAAAGAAGGCGGAAACTTTGGCGTCGAAAAATTATTATTTTAATTAAAATATAATATTTGAATTGTATACTGACCAATTTTCAACAGATTAGTTAAAACTTTAGCTTCTAAATGTCTATAAAGTTACATAAGAATATTATATCATCTATATAAGTATATTTTAATAAAGAGCATTTATAAAAAAAATAAAATTCTATCTATTAAGTTATCTATCTAATTTTTATATATATATATATATATATATATATATATATATAGGAGAATAATTTATTAAAGTTCATCAATCGTATCGTTTCTTGTTAAAGACTCACTTCGGTTCCGCTTAAAAGTACAAGTAATTAGTTTCCAATTCTTCAATTTCGCGTTGAATGTCGCGAAGTTCTTCATCAAATAACGAAAATTGTGAGCTAATTCTATCATAGTCTGATTTTTGATCATGTCGACACGAATCTAAATTTTTGAATATTTCTTGAAAAAATTCGACATCATCATCATCATCATCATCATCATTGTCTTTCTCATTCTCGTCTTTCCTCTTATCCTCCTCCATACCTGCTCGTTTTTTTCCCTCTATGTCGGACTGCATTTCATCATCTTCTTTGAAGATTTTCGCGACTTCTTGGATCAAATTATTAGACTCGGGTTCGAATGATTTGTAATTTTGGATTGATGATTCATTAATCTCTTTCCAGTTTGCAAAGGTCCAATTTTCTTCTGTATATTGCTCTTTTCGTTGCAGTCCATTACCGTCATTCTTTATAACCTGTGCTGTGCACTTGACTCTTGAGAAGTTGGAATATTGATAATAGAAATGATTTTTTGTGATTTCTGGATTTTGCGATTTCTCCATTTTTATTTTTTAGAAGAATTAACAATAAGAAAGAAATAAATACATACATACGGTAGGTAAGGCGGGTGAATTGTTTCTTTACGTATTATTATTTACGAAACCTATATTCATTTAATGATGATTTTGATTGATTGAATGATATACTAATTTCAGACAAATTCATACGAATTTACATTATTCTTCCACTCAAACAACATTTTAATCTGCGAGGAGAAATAAGTAATAGTAACACCTCATTTTTTTTAAGAGTTAAGGTAGTTTTGGGATGTTTATAATTAGATTTTATATCATGGTTAAATAAGATACAGCAAACAAATTTAATGTCGCTTATTCCAGGTTCAATTGAAAATAAGGATAATGTTTATTCCTGAGCGGAAAGAATGTAAGAATACGGTACATGTATATAAAAATAACATAGTACATGTATATAAAAATAACATAGTACATGTATATGTGCATGTATATTTTTTTAAAGACATTTTGATTTAACTGATACATCGATATACTGTATATATATATACATATCAATATATAAATCGAAATTATAAATTAAAGTGCTATTATTTCCTCAAAAGTCAAATCGTCGTGTTGTCATAATGCTATTCTCCTTCCCAATTTAACTTATCACGATTAAGAGTAACCATTTATGAATTTGATCTACCAAATGTATCGTAAATCAATATCGATCGGATATATTTATTATTTATTTATCCTATACGCAAGATTTCTTTTAATAGACTAGCTCAAAGAAAGTTCCGCGTGTTCGTTGTTTAATCAATAGACGATTTTTAGATCTCGTCTTTATTTGGTGGATAATACGTACGCATTGTACGTGTTATACTGTATAATTCTTTTACACATTTGAAAAACAGACATACGAATTCTTTGAATGCACAGTATTTTGAAATAGAAGAAAATCTGAAATATTATTTTCGTCATCATCAGATAACATTGGCAAGAAATTATACTGAAAGAAATTTGAAGCTTGTTTATCATGCTTAAGATCCTCGTATAGTAAAAAAGGATCCAAGTTTTCGGATGTATTTATCAGAGACGATATTTGAGTCTCGTTGAGCGTAAAAAGTTCCAGTGGATTATCCAGAGACGTATTCGGTTGAAGTTGTTTTTTTAATTTGTCTTGATGATGATTTTTTGGAAATTTTAACGAGTCATCGTTTATTAAATTTGATTCGATCAAGGGAAGATTGACGAGATCAAATTGTGCGTCCAAATTTGAATAATTTAAGATGTTCTCCATAATCAATGAATTGGCGTCACATTCATGGCTAAAAGGTTTTAAATAGTTCCTCGATTCGGTAGTTTGCGTGGGTTCATTATTATTAATTGCTGAATTTGTGTCTTTTTCCGTAAAAATCATACTCATATCGATATTCTTGCATTGCAGATTAGCATCAGCGAGAAGTTTTTCCCAATTTTCTGTGAAATAATTAATGTTATCGAGAGTTGATGTGGTGGGTGATTGTATAGGGGTTGTCAATTGTGAGGTATCTTTTTCTGATGATATATTTGGAGTAGTGGTGGTTATTTTATCGGATTTTTTGGGGTAAACACGCCATCTTTTTGGCTCCTTATGCTTAACAGATTTAGGATGTTTTAATTCAAAATTCTTTTTTGCTTCCTTGGCAATTCGTTGGTATTCTGCTTTCACGTGTGGTAATTCCTGTTCCCAAGCTTGTGAAGCCATGGCTGAAATAACAGTCATTGGAAGCTGAAAACCTTCGTCATTCGTAGCCTTAACGAATGCTCTTCGGTAAAGAATGAATGCATTCGGAGGTTTTGTTGGCTCTGAATCTTTTTTCGTCGTCTTATATATGAAATCTTTAGGTTCGAGATTTGGTGGAAAAGGTGGTTTGAATACTTGATGTGTTTCAATGTGATTAAGTATTTGATTTGGATTAATTGGGTCACTGGCGTCAATAAAGATCAATGGACGTTTGTCTGTTTTTCCAATTAGTTTCTTCATGTTTCGCTGCTGGTTTTTCCGCCTTTACTATTTTTTGTCATATGCAGAACCGTTTATATATATTGGTCGTCGATCCTTTTTAATTATAGATTTTTTGAATTAGGGGTTCTTTTTGGAGTAAACTGTGCCTATGTATAGTTTAGTTAATTTTACACGTTTTTTTTTTTTATTACTACGTGAATACATATAATAACGATAATATATAACTTTGGTGGTGCTATACCAACTGGCCCTCGTACAATATTAGTAATCCGATATCTTCCGTAATCAGGGTGAGCGATTAATTGACGATATTGGATGATTATTTCGCCTTCAGAGATCTTATCTGTCAAAGCCCCCATAACCCAAAACAAACATGTGCATATCTCTCGCAAAAAAATAATAGGCAAAACAATCAAACAATGCAAATCAAAAAAGATGTGGGAACAACGCAATGCTTATGTAACGATGGGTTTACAATTAAAGAAATTCTCAAAATCAATATAAACTTTTACGGATTTACCCGTCCATCAAAGGATTGTGGGCCGTTCTAAAACAACGAATCAAAGAAGCAGGTTGCATATGTTGCATAATGCACTTATTTATTTATTTATTTTTCACGCTTAAATTCTATCCATGGTTTTTCTTAACAAATTCGATTTTTTTTTCATAGAAAGACACAAATACATACAATGCATGTCATGTGTCAGTGACCAGAGCATAAAACTAATTCTAAAAATATATGCCTCAATAAAGTGAGTTTTTCCTAGTATATCCATATTGTAGTGATAGTATCTAGATTGTTTGAAATTGCATGCATTCGCATTAATTTAAAAATCTTTAGACGGCTACCGCTACGGTTTTATAGTATCTAGATTGTTTGAAATTGCATGCATTCGCATTAATTTAGACTGTTACCGCTACGGTTGATATTGAACAGAACATTCGAGACATTCATCAGTCTGTTACCAAGTGATTAATTACATGTACTGGAATAGAAGTTGAGCCATTGAAGTTCTAGAATTCCAAGTATTTGTTTAACAATTCCTGTTCTCACACTTGTTTAAAGTCGTTATAGAAGTGTCTTATGATCTAGATTAACGTTGTTGTTACCCAATGAGATCTCTTCCGGTAAATCACAGGATCGATATTTTTGTTATCGTATTCCGTTCTATCTACAAATTTGATGCCGCTCTTCAAAAGAACGTTCTTTCACGAAAATATTTTTAATGATAAAAGGAGAATTTTATTTAACAATTTCGCATCAATTAATTCCATTATTTATTATAATTGGAAGTGGAACTGATTTTTTGAGACTTACGATTATTCTCATATAAATTAGTAATATTAAAGTCATCCTACAATTTCGAACCCAATTCATAAGTTCGTAAGTTCGTGCAACACGTGTTTTAATTGATGACATGTACATGTACTATGTACAGTATGTCGTATCAACGTTAAAATTAAAGAGGAATTGAATTATTCTATCAGATTAGATCCGATACCTGAATTTTACTATCGTCGCTTTACTATTGGACTTGATATTATTATTTACGTTTCTTGGTACAAATCATCATGTTTTGAATTTCAGTGTGTCAAAAATGAGTTTTTTTAATTGACCTATAACAACCGAATTACTTTAAAAATGAATCAGTTTGAAGCGTTTAAATCTCAGCGTAAGAGACAAGAAAATATAGCTGATTTATCTAAGGTACATAATGAATGTATTGGTGATAATCTTAATAGCGAATGCTAATAACTTATTTCACATACACTTATTAACATATCGAGTTTAAATATCGAGAAGCCGTTAAATTCTTAAAATTTAACGAAACTTTGATAAATGTTCTTTTAAATGTCGATATTTTTTTGCACATGATAGAATAAGCGCAAAAATATACAAATGGTTTGTTGAGATTATTTATTATATAACTGTATTTCTCTTAAAACTGAAATTTTAGATAACGGTAGCTTATATAAGAGAAATAAAGTGATTGTACATGATTTTAATTTAAAATTTGATATTATCATTTCGAGATTTATTCTTCGTCAGAAAAGGATAATAATTATTCTATTTCCGGGTCATATATTAATGGTTCTTGCTGCTCGAACAAAAAACTATCTTGATCGAAAATTAATGCTTCTTGTTCTGGTTGAAATGTAACTGTTGTATTAATTGATTCACCGAAAATAAAAGCTTCGAAGAATTCGAAAGAATTATTATTGAAGCTAAATTGTGAATTTGCATCAATAATTTCAAATTTTTCACTAAATCTATTATCAATGGTTGGCATATTTTCGATCAATTCAATAGGAAAAAAGTCGTTGGATATTAAGTTAAAGCCACCATCAGCTTCGAGTGGAATTTCGCGGAGATTAAAAGAATTTTTCGGAACAAAAGAATTTTCTGTTTCAGATACTGGCATTGTAAATTGTTCTATATCGCGGTTTTCTGAAACTAAATTTTCGAACACACTGGTTGAATTATTGTCATTCTTAGATTGGGATACATCGGTATCTGAATCGAGATACACTTCCCAGTTAACAGAATTTTCAGGAAATGGAGTGGATGGCATTGGAGAGGGAAATGCTGATTTGGAATTGTTAGAACTTTCAGAAGACGACAATATTGATGATTTAGGCTTATATACGCGCCATGTTTTCGGTTCTTTGGTTTTTGGTTTTTTTGGATATTTTAATTCGTGATTCTTTTTTGCCTCTTTGGCAATTCTTTTGTATTCCTCCTTTACAAATGGTAATTCTTGTTCCCATGACTGCGAGGCCATCGTCGAGATAACGGTCATTGGCAGTTGATACCCTTCCGCAATCGCGGTTTTAACAAACGCTCTACGATAAAGAATGAATGCGTTGGGAGGCTTGCTTGGATTAGTGCCATTTTGTCTCTTTACAATAATATCTTCTGCTTCAAATTTTGGGGGAAAGGGTGGCTTAAATGTTGGCTTGGCGTCGTTATGTTTGACCATTCGGTAACAGCTACGACGATTAGAGTTTATGAAAATCAATGGACGAAGAGCGCTACTATCAGCGGAATTCGAGGTACATGTATTAGTTACTTCGCTGTTCAAAGAATTCATTTTTTTGCTTTGATTACTTTTTGTTGAACTTCGAACTTCAAATTAACTCGATTGTATTTATGATGTTCTAAACAAAAGATCTGCATTGATTTCTAATCTGGGAGATTTCCACGAGAGAACGATCATTTGCATAATTTTTCGCGATACAATTTCTACGAACAACAAATTTAGCTGCATATTTTTTTTGATTATTAAGATGTTAAATTTTCTTATACAGTCTTATCTCTTTACAGTCACACCCTATACAATCACAATTATTATGAAACATAAGAAATTTGACCTCCATAAAGTCATAACCCCTTTATAGTTACACTTTTTTACTGCTCCCGAGGGTGTGATTATATGGAGACATGACTTTACACTTAGTTCATGTAAATTTACATGTCAAGCCTCGCTTACCGAAATGGACGGAAAACAAAAAATTTCATTACGTCAATAAGGGTATTTTCCGAACAATCCAATCTTTTCTAATTTACTCGTTAAGTCTAATAGCGATGGAAAGAGGAATATTTACCTTGCCACTAAAGCGAGACGTTAATTAGTCATCGTTAAATCGAGAGCTGAATTTGTTTATTTATTTGTGGCTTATCAGTTCTCCGTCCAATTACAATCTCAAAAAGTATAAAACAATATACTTATTTTCGATTTTTGATAACTTGTCTTCCTTGTAGCTCAATTCTTGTATCACGTATTAATAATGCTTATCGCGTTTTCCTTCTTGGAAAATCAGGCATGATACATACACATACACTTGTAACACCCGTAGTTTTTCCATGAAATCATATGGCGCAACAAACGTCAGTATCCTTTTATGGAAATTTAGAAATAGTTCTTTACATTAACTATTCTGATTTGCTATTAAAGGGTTACACCGCTTTTGATGTGCTTACAAATGAATAGATTATTTTATGATTAATAATAACGATAATACATGTAAAATGAATTCAAATCTAATCGAGAAGAATTCAAAAAAACAAAAACTAAAAAAAGTTAATTTTCCAGCTACATAAACGAATCAAATGATTTTTCACAATACGTTTAGATTCCTCTGGTATTTAGTTAGATAATATTATCGACAAAAAACTATAATGCCAAGACACCCAAGTCATTTATCGAAAATTTCTATTGTTTTACAGAATGAAAATCGTATTCAGTGGAGTGTACATGTTAGGGTTGCTCTTCAAGATTAATGTGAATCGCGTTCTATAGTACCCCCAATAAAATACTTCCAGGCTTATGCACGGATATATCAATGGTGGATGTTTTATTTATAACAATGAATTATCAGTTCTTTAATGTCGATAATTATTATTTGTGATTAGTAGAAATACATGCATCACTTTTAATAAAATTAAATTGGATTTTTTCACAAATTAGCTGGTATGGTATCTGTTAAGGCATTAAAAATATTGAGCATATTTTTGTTTACCTCGTTTGTATAATAATTACAATGTATCTTCAATGTTTTAGCTTTTTGTCGAGAAGTATAAATTTGTTAAAGAATAAACATAAATATTTGAACATTCTTCTGAACAAATCAATGTAAAATGATGGTTATAACTAATAACAAAAGTGTTTAAAGTGCATTTAACAAAAAAATTACAAGGAAACTGGAATATCCAAGAAAAATTAACGATTATTACGTATTATGAGCAAAATGAATCAATATTAAAATTAATAAAACAAGTAAAAGGTTGTATTCAGCCTAAAAAGTTACAGTAGTGGACAATTAAAAAAAAATCTTATTTGATTTGATTATTAAATAATGCAAAAACTTATTGCTAAAGAACTGATAGTTCTAAGACATCTTCACTTATTCAAAGAACTACAAAATCTTTCAGATTTTCAATATTTAAATTCTCATACATTTGGCTTGGTGTTTTTTTTTGATACTATAGTTTCTCAATTTGATATTATATAACTGAAAATTTAGAAGAAAAGAACAAAATTTTCTTAATTATATTTTAAATCAGTATATTAAATACAATTACTTCTTTGCATTTAATCAATATTATGAATGAAATCACTCTTATTTTCAATTTATTAAATTTAACTCTAATTGAAAATGTAAAGCTTTGTGTTATTGGATATTTATATTACACATAATAAGAAAAAATTTATTATTATTACTAATAGAACTAAATTACCATCAGTTTATATTTGAAATTTAAAAGTATATTTCAAGAAAGCTTTCTAATAATATATTGATTTTATATAATAAGAGTTGAATTAATAAAACAAAAATATTTTAATAAATTAAAAGTATTTGAACTTTTAGCAATTTATATTTCTTTTAGTTTTTTTATTTATTTTATATATATTTATTTAATTGAATTAAACTTTAATTTTTAATAAAGATTTAAACTTAATTATTAACTAATATTTAAATTATAAATTCAATATCAATTACTTTATATATATTTAAAATAGTCTTAAAAATCTATAAATTATATGATTAATAAATATTAGAATTAACTTTTTATATAATAATAAAATTTTAAAAACTAATAAATTTATATATATATTAAAAATTATTTTTATAAAAACAAAATTTATATAAGAATTAGATTTTTTAGTTTGATTATATTTTATAAAAAGATATAATTATATAATAATTTTATTATTATAGAACTAAAGAATTAATTTTATTAATAAAATATAATAAAAATTAAATTTTTCTTTTTATATCAAAGTTTATAATTTTATTAAGAAATAATATTATTTTTATATCAAAATAAAATTTATAAGTTATAATTTAATATATATTCTTTTTTAATTATAAGATTATTACAAACTTTTTTAATTAAAAATAAAATTTATTAGAAAATAGAAAAAAATTTTATATTGATTTTACAATTTAGAATAATTTTTTTAGAAAAAACTAAAAAATCTGAAAAAAAATTTATTAAATTATAATTATAAATTTTATTTTAATATAAAAAAAAATTATTAATGAAATTATAAATTTAATATAAAAAAACTTTAATCTTTATTATATTTTATTAATAAAATTAATTTATTAATTCTATAAGTATAAAATTTATTATATATTAAAATTATTAATTTTATTATTTTAAATAAAAACTCTTTAATTTAAATTTAATTAAATATTATTAATTATATTAAAATAAAAATTTCTAATTAATAATTTTATTTTTTAAATAGTTTTTCTTTTTTTATATTTATTATAAATAAAAATATTTATTATTAAAAATATTTAAAAAGATATAATTAAATATAATTATAATAATAAAAAAATATAAATATTATAATATATATAAAATTTTTAATAATAAAAATTCTGGAAAAATATATTAATTTTAAAATAAATAATTTTTAATTTACTAATTTATAAAAATTTTATTTATTAAGAATTATTTATAAAATAATTATTTTTAAATTAAAAAATATTTTAATATAATAATCTATATAATAATTATATATTTTTATATAAAATATTTATAAATTTAATATAGCTAATATTTTATATAATAAATTAATAACTTTATTAAAAAAGATATTTATTTTTTAAAGAATAATAAAAATTTATTATAATTAAAAAGTATTATAATCTATTATTAATAAATTATCTATATATTATAAGATTATTTATTTATAATTATAAATAAAATAAAATATTGAAATAAATAATTATAATTTATATATAATAATTTTAATTAGATTATCTTCTTTTAATTTAGATCTTTATTTTATATTATTTATATAATAGATTAATCTTTTTATAAAGATCAATTTCATTTTGAATATACAGATAATTATTCATATATTTTAATATATTAGATTTAATATATTATCATATAGATAATTATTATATATATATATATATATATATAGTGGCAATCAAAAATAATACAACACTTAAATTTTTTACTAATTATAATTAGTAAAATACGTATTTTTCCTTACATATAAAAGTTTTTAATTTTACTAACAA